TCGGCTTTCCCTCCCTTGTTTCTTGGTCTTGCCTTCCCTTGGCTCTATCGTTGCCTATTGCATTTTCTCACTCACATCTGCTAAACATATTGAGACGATTTTGTTTATTGCATTTGGATAGTTTTCTCTTATCATGTCGCTTCACAATTTTTTTTTTTTTTTTTTTTTTTGGTGTTAAAGAAAGTATACTTAAAAACAGAAAACTATCTGAAAGAGCAGATCCATTATGATGACGACCTTCAAGCACTAGTTCGGAATAACTGGGATTAGTTCTTAGCGTACGACAATAGAACAGTGTAGAGAGCATTGAGTTATACTGAGTCCTCCTCCTCCTTCATATCATTTACGCCTCCGCTGTTCTCCTTTTGCGCTTGAGTTCCTTCACCTCCATGACATCTTTGCCCCCGCGCTTGACCACCTTCAATTTGGACTGAATTCCCAGCTTCATATTTCGATGAGGCATGCTCAGTGTTGGAAATGGACTGTTGTCTTTTACATGCCCCTGTCGCTTTCCCTTTAGGCACTTGCTAGTAATCCGGACCAATGATTGAATCTGAAACAATTGGAAGAAAAAGATTTGATCCATTGATTTAAGTTCGGATGAACAGGTTGGCATTGTAAGCTCAGAGATCCTTGCATGGATGACAGTATTGCCAATCATTGCACCAAGGAAAAACACTATCTCAGGGCCGACAGACTGGAAGCTTATGAGTGGCAGATCTTCTTCAAGACCGGGGAGTAGATCATCGAGGCTGTCTTTTGTAAAAATGGCAATGCGGAGGGTATCCGCATTCTTTGACTGTGTTGTGGGGTGGATACCCTTGATTTCTCCATAATATACCTCACGTTTTCCCTCTGTTCGACCCACAATGTCGGGTTGCCTGGCTTGCCCATCCTGAGCCAAAGCAGCTTTTCTGTTCTCGCCCGCAGTCGATGCACTGTTAAGACTGCTAAAAGGAATAACGACAATTAAACCAAAAGAACATCCCATCTTCCTATATGCAAACGGCTAAACAATCAGGATGATATTGCCATTTGAATTGGATATGGCCTGGTATATTCATAAATTCACGTAAAATCGGCACGATGACGGACGACATAATATCACTTTCACTTTCAATCTCGCACCATGTATTGTAGTGTCGAAACACATACAGAGCCACAAACAAAACAGGTAATATGTCTTTTTCTTGGCATGTGTAATAGGATCCCATTATCATGTCAACGACCGACCTAAGATCGATCTCGGGTTCCTCGGCGGTTTCAAGGTCCTTGGATAGGTAGCTCAAGAGATTCATTGATCCCAAATTCTGCAGTCAACAACCAAAAAAAAAAAAAAAAAAAAAAAAAAAGGTGATTGGTGCCCATTATGCATTGCTCAAAACAAACAAGCAGTCAAAAAAACATAATGTCAACAACAACCATAGCCATATCCGCGAACCTGGACCCAAGCGCTCCATAGTGCAGCTGCTTCTACCGACCGCTTTACGTCTTTCTCTTGCAGCTCGCTGGTATAAAACCGACGGAGAACTTCCTTTGTGATAGCTGAGATCTCAGCAGTCTTGAATCCAACATGCTCTTTGTCAAAATGCAGGACACCAGAGAGCAGCCTAGATTGATACATTTCATCACGTCGATTAGTTTGTGTAATTTCGCTTGAACGTGAGTCTCATTTGTATGGAGTCAAACTTACTTACGCAATCTGATCTATTTGCTTGAAGTTCAAAGATGTCTTCTGCTTGATCTTGTTGTAGGACTCAGTTATCCGAGGTCCCCAGTCTTTTGTCAGCGGGAAACGGAATGTGAATTCTGGCCGCTCATTAATCCAGGACATATCTACAGTTCCACTGTAAGGTCGTCCAAATACCTCACCCTCATCACCTTTGTCTCCGCTAGACAGCTGTTCGTGATTGTCGAAAGTTCCTGTGACAGCTCCTTCATCGTTGTTGATATTAAAGAGCGGACGGCGCGGAGGCGACAGTGTTGGTGATGATAAGCCCGAGCCTCAGTCAAATAATGGAGTGCGAGCAGACGAAAATAGCACTATCAGTCGTCGGCCATGCAAATATTGAATGAGAGCAACAAACAATAACAAACAATATCAAATATAAGTATAAATAATAGTAACTCTTACCTCGTTTCGGACCCACCTCGAATTGTTTGATAAAAGTGGAATCAAAGTTGAATTATTGACGCTGATATAATGTTCTCTAACAGCCCCACTTCCTTCGATTATCTCGCTTACAGCCGACTTCGTGGACATTCGGACTTGATAGCGAATTCTTCGGTCTGCCCAAAATTCACCACCTTTAGATGCCTTCCACACTTTGTACTGATTAAGCGAACGTCGTCTTATGATATACGGTACAGTTGTTGATTGTAAAACTTGCATAAATAGCGGATGTGCATCTTCCTCACAATGGAACCCAAGCTCTTCGGCGAATTTCGACATTTCTATATCTTCACCCCTTTTAGCTTTCTTTTGTGCCCAACTCAACGGGTCATTCACACATGGTTCAACTGAGTCGGCAGGATGAAGAGGAGGTAGTTTTTCCTGTGGAGCTGATGATACGCTTCGCATTTGTGATTCTATACGCTCATGATTCTCGTGAACGATTCAATATAAGTAATGAAATTTCAATTTACACAAAAACAAAAGAAATCAAAGAATCATTAAGTGGATGTGATGTTATAACATTGTTCGATCCAACTCGTCTTTCCGCCGCCTCGCCGCGTACTAAGCAAAGGTTCGCTAAGAAAGATTCAGTATCCTGAAGCTAATGTTATAACGTCTAATTAACTGTGAATGCATCTCACAATCCGCCGCCTCGCCGCGTACTAAGCAAAGGTTCGCTAAGAATGTGCTCATGAAATCTACAGCCCACTTAATAATTCTAAATGAATAATTCTAAATGAATAATTCTAAATGAATAATTCTAAATGAATAAATCAATTACGGACCTTACGATGTATTATTTGTAACCGCTGAGTACAGTTGAAGAAGTTCAATGCTACTTAATGTTAAACAGTTAATACACCTGAAGTTGATTGGACAAGATTAATGAACCAATGTTACGTGACAGCTTTTTTCGAAACACAACTGGCCGCCGACGTGGTCTCCATTGTCCTCGTCTGGCACCACTTGAAACGGGCGCTGACGGAGTTTGAGAGCCGCCAGGACCTACAGGTCATTCACCCAGCCAAAGTTGGATTGGCAGGGCGAGGCGATAGCGTGGTTCAGAGCTAGGTCTACATTCGCGAGCGAAAAAAAGGAGATACTGCAACCAAAATCAATGAACGATCGCAATGAAATATGAATAATTATATTTTAATTAAAAGGATTCTGGAATTCTTCGTCTCGTTGGGAGCCATCCTGCATATCTTTTTGTGGAGATACCTGTTCCCTATTCTCGTCTTCACAAGCTCTTACAAGCTTTTTCAAAAAAATGGCGCACACTACTCATGTTACTTTTTTTTTGCATTATCCAGCATGGCCTCCATTCCCTCCGGAGTGCGCATATCATGCCCACCAGACAACTTGGCCAGTAGCTCAACCGAAGTATGAAGTGACTCCTTCGATAGAGGTGAACTATGCATGCTGCTCACAGGGGGTGGAATGGGTTCTTGGACTCCATCGGAAAGATCAGGAAAGTTACAATCCTCTATAGAAGGGCATGGCCCATTTTTATCCTCCAAAACATCCTGCACATCTTTCTCCGCAATGCGGTTGAGGTTCCAGCCGTTTGCCTCATTCACTGAGGCAACCAAGTGCTCGAAGTACGTCCTTTCTTGCCTCTCATAAAGGTGACGTCGCATGTACCGGAGCTCATGGTTCCGCTCTGCATTGGTAGTCGACATGGTTTTGAAGGGCGGCCGCATCTCTTCAGGAAGGACCGGCGTTTCAGCAAAGCAATTCCTTAGTGTTGTCGCTTTAACGGAATTCCATGCATATGGGATAATCGACCACGCGTGTCCATTAAAAATAGCCTTCGCCATGTCAAACGTTCGGATGAGATGCGACTCACGGATAAGCATCTCAAGGAATGCTCGCTTGAACACACTAATAACACCTGCGTCAAGGGGCTGCGTAACAGATGTTGGGTTCACCAGGAGTCGTCGGACGCGGAGATGCTTCCAGGATTAATTGATAAAAGGGTCGCGCATATCAATGTTTTTGTGTTGTGGAGCTGAGTCTAGGAGAAGTAGGCTTGGCTCCGTGAGCTGGTCATCGAGTTCTTTCAACCATTTCACAAAGATATGGTTTGTCATCCACCCCGATTCAGACTTCCTCACAACCATCTTACTTGCCGACTCTTCGTCAATGCCCTGGGCGATATTTTTGCCTAGTATATAAAATATATCACATCAAGTTAATGTCTAATATTTAATATTTACCAAGGTTTTCAGTAGTTGCTTCTCCTTACCAATGACTAGTGTCTTCAATGCACTCATGGATTCTGCCTTGAGGAGCGATGTGCCCGAAGCGTTGATACAAAATAGAATGGAAACACGGCAGCTCCTATTTGCCTTGATACCGGCTTTCGAGACCTGCGTTGTATAAGACTTGTGCTCCAGCTCCTTGAAATAAAATCCTGTCTCATCGCAGTTGTATATGTTGTCAGGCTTGGGAACATAGCCGCCGAATCTCGACTAGTTCAGGCTCAATCGCCTTAAGGTCAACCGATGCTACTTCTCCGTGGAGCTGGCAATACGTTATGTTATGACGCTTTTTGAAAGCATCGAACCAGGAAGCTGAAAAAGACGGCATCATGTCGTTGGAGTCCGAGTCAAAAGGATTTTTCTGGTCGGTGAGGACAATATAGGTGGTTTTAGCCGCTTGTTTTATCATCCTTTAGTTGACTGGATTGTTTCGCTTCTGCTGATCTTCCAGGCAGCCATTTTAAGAGCACCGCCTCAAGCTGAAAATTCTTTCGCTGAGTCATATAACATGCGCCCTTTGGATACAACGGAGCCTGTTGTCGAATCACATTTCTCTTTCTTTACATGTCGTAAAAAGTAGCCTTCGGAAGCATATATCCAACCAGGTCACCGAAGCTTCTAAAGTATCTTTTTGTCGAAGCAAAAGATATTCGTATATATCAAGGAGCTCGATTTTTTGTTCTAGAGTCAAACACACCTTCGCCATTGGGATGGCGTGGTTGTCAACTGAAGGAAGGATAAGGGGAGCATACATATCGCAATTCCTTGCACAATCTAGAAGCCAAGTACCTCTCCTTCCGCTTGCGTTCAATCGTTTTTATTTCAGACTTTGTATATTTGGTCTTCTTGGTCACTTCATAAGCAAGAGCCGACTCTGTGGAGCGTTTTCCAGTTGCCATTTTGATGCTTGGATGCGATTGTTTAATGTAAGGGAACAGGTGATATGTTGTGAATAGTAGCAAGCGGTGGTGGGTTCAAAAATGATTTATTGTTCAAGTCTGCCCTAATCTGCTACAATAATGATGGCTTTTATACTATTCGGGGACGCCGTGTGGAAGTCATGGGGCGTAGTGGGGCTGGGCAAAGAGGCGCAGTGGAGGCGTAGAATTGTCCGGATATTTCGTCAGACAAATCTTGTCGGACATTTCACCAGATGTGCATTTCGGGGAACCCGTAAATGCAATATCACCTGAGTATATATATATATTTTATAAAGTTTAGAATACCACCCAATTTAGTAAAACCTAATTATTATCCGGACAAGTTTGACAGTGGGATGTCTGGATATTGCAAGTTCGACTATGCAATAGTCTAGAGAGTTTCGCAAATATTTTTTTCGTCAAGGATTTTCATCGGGATATTGAACCTTATTTTCGCCGACGTAAAAATTGCAGTCTGTAAACAACTTATCGTATGTGATAGGCAACAACATTCACTCAACCCCAATCGAAATTTGGAATTTGCCTTTGGAGTAAACTTTGTTTCAAACATCCTTAACAAACTTTGGATATACATTTGTGGTAGACCTCACCTCTGAACATCAAGTATCGCTCAGTCATCGCAATATTTTTCTAAATACTCACAAATATGTTTTATTAACATTTTTTATAGTATTTTCTAGGTGTTATATGTCTCATCTTAGCACTAGAGAGCCGCATTATACATTATCCCTGGAGTTGAGAAAAAGATCCTTCACTTTTATACTGATTCATCACCAGTGAACCTGAATTAAGCTGTGAGGAATGTGCCAATCAAGTACAGGCATTTGTTACTATGGATGAAGAGCCATTCAGGACTTCAATAACCTCCATATTAGCCAATAAACTATATACAATGATTGGTGGCGTGAATTTTTTAAAAGAGACACTGGACATTGCATATATATTTCTATATGTCTGTCCTCTGCTCGTGAGCCTTTAAAGGAATAGTATTGGGGAAGGGATACACGGTCAACTTCTATCTCACGAGAGTCTAGAGAGAAATCACGAAAGAGAAGAACCGAGCTATTCTCTTTTTTTTCTTTTTTCTTTTTTTTTTGACAGTCAATGACTACGAAATGTTTCGGCTCTTGCTTTATTTAAAAAAAAAAAAAAAAAAAAAAAAAAAAAAACATTCGGTGCCAACATCAGTGCCCGACACTGTGGCGGGGCGCAAGAAAGAGGAGAATGAATTTAGTCCGGGTAAGTGTCAAGTACTGAGTTGGAATTGAATGAAGAGTGGAATAAGCGGTGGAGTAAGGAATGAAAAGAGTGGAAGGGAAGGTATAGAAGAATGGAACACATGGGCCAGCTGATTGCTGGAACTTTCTTCATGGGAAAATAGACAAAAAAGGGAAATGAGGAGACGTCTGAGTTTATAGAAAAGTAAGATCAAAACATGGACACAAAGAATGTTTGGACTCTGGCTGGCGTGCATGGAAGGATTAAACGTCCGACTTGCATTAAAAAGATCCTTAACAAATGCTCTGCTAATTGCTCTCTTTTCTTCCCCCATAGTTGCCTTATTTGTTTTGAATACTGCACGGATGTCATGACTAAGGGTTCTTCAAGGCCAATCTTCAAATAGGGCACAAGGCATTAAGAGAATGGAAAGAAAATTCTATTGGGACACTAGAAAAAAAAATATTTGTGAGATCATTCGTCCGTAATGGCTGCGTCGGACCCGTATCCGAACACGAGTGTCTCTTCCAGACGAGTCTCGACTCTTAAGGACATGCATGTTTATATAGACATATAAATATATATTCATTTAGTGCAAACAATGAAAGTATCCCTGAATGCCTGAATACGCAAGCGAAGGGTAAAAGGGGCAAGGCAGGCTTTAGTATATAACATTATATATACTTGCGGAATATGTCAGAGAAAATAAAGGAAGGTTGACATGAATTAAAAAAGAATGAAATATGGTTATGGTTATGGTTATAACTATAATTATGGCGTCAAATAACGCCATTATTTTATCAACAGGCAGCAGGAGTTTGGGAGAGTGGTTCGTGGTGTAGCGCGGTGGTTTTGTTAGTCATTTCCATATCTTTTTTTTTGTAAATCACCGCATGTGAATATACATCTTTACTGAAGAAGCACAGCAGCCAACATTCCGCGCGATAAATGCACCCCATCCTCTCTCTATGAACTCCTTATGGGACTAGTTTCCTGCTTCTGTATAGCAATGGCAAGCACTCCGTACTCTTAAGCAAATATAACAGCCCAGGACTATTAATGGTGTATATGGCTATCTGATTGTTTAATTGAAGTCAGCGATATCTGAGCTTTACGAACATGAAGATGAAATGGAAGAGGAACAAATCAAAACAAAACAAAGTAATTCAAAACTATTGAATCAAACATGTTTGGGGCTTCGATATTCTTCTTTCTCCTGTCTGTCCGCTCACACGCAGTACATATCTGTATATATATACTACTTAATACCATCTCTTTATAAAGCAAGAAAATATGAAGTTGGTTTTTATTTTATTCTTTTTTATACATCGCAGTAGCCAGTCCAGTGGTCCGTCATGAGTCTTTCCTTCTCTCATCCGATGCATTAATCGCGCAGTTGTATATCATCAATAGGTGGACATCTGAGCTCCAATTAGCGAATGTATGCATGCAGCAAAGTCGTTGTCCATGATCAATGATTCATTGATCAGCGGCGCTTTTCTCTCTTTCTTTCTTTCTTACTTTTTTTTTTTATTTTTTTATTTTTTTATTTTTTATTTTTTATTTTTTTTTTTTAAATTCTCTCAAGCAGGAAGAGCGGATAATGAACACATATAGAATACTCCTCATATTATCTTTTGTGTTTTTGTTGCTGCGACTGTAGGACATCGCCTAGTAGCACGCAGGTAAAATATATTGGCATTCGATATTCTTTTTGATGATATATGCTCTTTTTATTTTATTTTTTATTTTTTTTATTCATATAAAAGGACCAGGTAGTTCTCTTGGGATTCCTCTTTTCCATCATCAACCACAATCATCAGCATCTTTTTACATTTTAGCATTTTTCGCACCCGCATTAAACAAGATATCCAATTAATCCAATAATGATTGCCGCCAAGTTCCCTATCTTCCTCATTGCCGCTGCCATGGTCATGGTCAGCTCTTTTGTTGAAGCCGCCCCCGCTGCCAAGCCTACATGTACGTAGACGTATTACTGCTACTACTACCGCTATTATTATTACTACTATAATCATTACTATTACTATAATGATTGCTATTACTACCACTATAATAGCCTTCAGTCTGCAATATTGAATGCTTGTTGTTGAATACTTATTAATGTTTTTTATTATTATTATCGTTATTTACTATCATTACTGCTCTAATCTTAGCTTGCATCAAGTGCCTTGCTCCTCCAATGTGCCCTCCCTGCGGAACTGGCTTCAAGTGTGTGATTACTCCTGCCACTTGCCATGATTGTGGCAAGGGAGAGTGCAAGCCAGCTGAGACTCAGACCAAGCGTAAGGGCCCTTACTCTTTTATATATCATTATTACCATGTATTTCTATTCCATTAACAAAGTATTTTATTTTATTTTATTTTTTTAGCGGGCCACTGCATCTATTGCTTCGCTCCTCCTACATGTCCTCCTTGCGGTGAAGATGAGAAGTGTGTGATCATCCCAGCTACTTGCCACGACTGCGGCGACGGCTACTGCACGCCCAAGTAAAGGAAAAAAAAAAAAAAAAAAAAAAAAAAAAAACTATGGATCGAGTAAAACAAGTGCAAAATGTCTGTCTGAGACTTAGACGCGTTTTAATACCAATGCGCTTTAGATCTCATGCAAAAACCTGAAAAGCGGATAGTCTGTTATTAATTAATAAAGAAAAAAAGGAAAAAACAAGAAAATCACATGCATCTATTATGAATCCGAGTATGAACTTCGGAACAAGTAAAAATTGATTAAAAAAAAAAAAAAAGCAAAATGTATGTATACTAGAGACGCGATTTTTTAATATTTACAGCCTTCGTGTAACTTTGGCTACATTCGGTTTAATAAACAAATGGGAAATTTTCCGAATGGCTTAAATAAATAGGAATATACAAATATATATTTTTTTTACTTGGTGAAGCACCAACATGGGATGATCGACTTTTGGCGTCAGGTAGTTTTTTATTTTTCAAGAAGAAAGGAAAAAAAAAAAAAAAGACAAACAAAGGACCATATCATATCCAATGTAATTAGATGTTGACCATACAAGGGACGAGGGCTAAAACAAAAAAAAGGTGTGGGGGCTACACTCTCCAATGTTGCCTCCACACACACATGCATGCTGACAGGGGCCAAGTATATCATTACTGGTATAAGTTTGAGGAAAGGTGTAGATATTGTGCGTAGGCCTTATTGTTAACATTTGTATTAAAGCCTGTAATTAATTGGCACGGACAGGGTGTGGGCGTGTCATGCACGATGTATGTAGAGAAGAAGGGTGTATTGCTGTTGAATAATTGGGTCTCAGAATGTGATCATCTGCTCAGACCTCTCGACCTGAAATGCGCTCAAATGGCAGTGAAGGGATTCATTGTCTACTATCGATCTATCAGCGGTACATTTTATTGATATAGCAAAATAGCATATCACCATTGATGACTCTTTCCTCTTTCACCCGTTATCAATGGGGCACATTGACCTTTGGTGACCATTTTATATCTCTTCTTTTTGTGATATAAAGAGGTGCTACTACTGACCTTTTTTTTTTTATTTTTTTTTTTTTTTTATTTTTTATTTTTTTATTTTTATTTTTCTACTCCAAACAACAAAAGCAGCGATACATTACAATGATCATTACAAAGTTTACCATCCTTATCATTGCCGCTATCTTGGCCATGGCAACCTCTTCTGTTGAAGCTGCTCCAGCCACATGGTGTAAAGGTAATTGACGATATTTTGTCTATTTTTTTTATTACTATTTTTGCTTTATACCCATTTCTTCATCCTTCCTCCTTCCTCTCTTCATCCTATGAGCCATTATTCTAGATTTCCTGGCAATCAATAAGGGCTAGTTGCTTCTTTATTTATAAATATATGTACTCGCTTTTTGTTTCTAGATTGTATATACTGTTTTGCCCCTCCGAGCTGTCCTCCTTGTCGCAAGGATCAAAGGTGTGTGATTACTCCTCGCAAGTGTTGCGATTGTGGCAAGGGAGAGTGCAAGCCTGCATATGGATAACAGTCTGTTGGATAGTAACTGTAAAAAAAGTTGAGACCTTGAAGAAGGAAATAAAAAAAGTTTATCTATACTTAAAAAAAAAGAAATACATAAATAATAGAAAATAAAATGCTATAGCCTCTAACTCTAAGCTAGTTAGTTACCTACGCGTTTGGTAAATCGCGTCCAACAACAGTTACGCGTCACTCGAAAAAAAAAAAAAATCGAGTGACGTTTTTGTCGCAATTAATTCAAATTAAAGTTTAAGAAAAGACATCATCTGTGGAAAGCAGAGTAATAAAAAAAATAATAACGGCTCATTCTTCTCTCATCTTACTTTTTTATTTTTTCATTCATCATTCACCTTCCTTTTATTTTACTTTTTTGACAACCAATGAGTTTGCAAGTTAACTTTACAACGTATGGTCACGACCTCAAGGCGGCCTATGACACAATTTTAACCGGAGATCCCAAGACTAGCGACAACTGGGCCCTATTTGGATATGACAAGGGCACCAATGACCTCAAGGTGCTCGGACAGGGTAAAGGAGGGCTTGAGGAACTAGAGGGAGAATTCATGGACGGTAAAATCCAATATGCATTTGTTAGAGTTGTCGATCCTTACTCTCAACTCAACAAGTTTGTCCTAATTGCTTGGGTAAAAGAAAAAAAAAAAAAAAAAAAAAAAAAAAAATTCTTTCTTCTCTATCATACTGCATACTGGTAAGAAAAAAAAAAAAAAAGCTGACAAAAAGAAAACTTTTCTTTTTTCTTTTTCATATCTTTTAGTGCGGTGATGGTGTTCCAGTGTTCAAGAAGGGCCTCTTCAGCAGCCACCTTGCTGATGTTGCAAATTTCCTCAAGGTAAAAAAAAGTGATAATGGTTACTCATAATTACTTGTCAAACATCCAACGGATATATCTCAATGTATTCGATATGATATCATGTTTTTTATATTTGGGCTTTAGAAAAAAAAGAGTCTGAAAAAAGGAAAAATGTTACAGCGATATAAGATTTTACGAAGCGAGTAATATGAATTCTTTTTTTTTTCTTACATATATCAATATTTTCAATTTGATATTAGGGATATCATTTACAAATCAATGCTCGCTGTGAAGATGATGTCGCACCATCTCATATTATGAAGAGACTTGATGAGAGCTCTGGCTCAAAGTATTCGATCCACAAGGAAGATTATAAACCTGAAAAGATCACTCCTCTTCAATCTGCATACAAGAAAACGGAGATTCCAGATATTTCAGCCATGCAGCGTAACCCTACTAAGCCTCAGCCTGCACCGAAGGTAATGGGAATAATGAAGGAAGTACTTTGTCCTTAATCTTTTATTTGAGCCTATTTTTAACTTTTTTTTTTACATTTCTTGATTTTCTACTTTCTACTTTCTCTTCTCACAGTATGGACTCGCAGCGACAAAGACTTTCGGATCATCATCACCGTCCACTCCTTCTACTCCACAAGTATCCAAACCTGCACCTCCAGCTCCAGAAAGAACGTGGAAGACGTCAGTAGGGTCTTCATCTTACACAGGAGGCACGAAAACGATATCTTTCAACAAGGTTACTCCTCCAAGCTCTTTAACCAACTATGGCCGCCCCGCAGGAGCAGGAGCAGGCGCAAGCTCGGGAACAGGAGCTCCCACCATCCCTACTCCTACACGCAATGAACCTAGTATGAACAAGGCTCAACAAATCAGACTGGAGCGTGAGGCACGTGAGAAGGAAGAGCGAGAACGGATTAAGCGTGAAATCGAAGCTAGAGAAGCTAAAGAACGTCAAGCCTTAGGGCAATCCAACGCTCAAAAACAAGCTGAAGAAAAGCGCCTTCAGGAACAACAACAGCAGCGTGCACAGCAGGAGATCCAGGAACGTGCACGTGAGGAGCGTGCTGCTAGAGAAAGAGAGGAACGAGAGAGAGCAGAAGCAGAGGAAGCTGCTCGTTCTGCACGTGAGGCCGCTAAGGCCCGTGAGCAAGCTCAGGTTCGTGAACAGGCCGCTGCTCAAGAAGAAGAAAAGAGACGACAGCGTGAGAAGGAGGAGAGGGAAGCAGCGGAGAGACGTTTGAGAGAACAGCGTGAGGAAGAAGAGGCCGCAGAGAAGAGACGTCAACAAGAACAAGAACAAGAGCAAGAGGAAAAACACAAATCAGCAGTCTAAGGTAGGTACTGCTGCGGCTGCTATGGGGGTTGGGGCTGCTGCTGCTGCTACCGTTGCTGCCGTGGGGGTTGGAGCTGTTGCTGCTATAGGCGTTGGAGCCGCTGCCACCGCTGCTGCTGCTGCTGCTGCTGCTGCTACTGCTACTGCTACTGCTAATGCAAGTGATTATTCGGCACATCAGGAGGCTGAGGATACACATGGAGACGAGTCTGCACCCGCCGATGCCGGCCAAGGAGTCCAGGCAGTTGTCTTGTACGATTATGAGAAGACAGAAGAGAACGAAATGACATTAATTGAAGGTGAAATCCTTGTCAACGTCCAGGAGCTAGACCCCGGCTGGTGGAGCGGTGAGAGCGCAGATGGTACCAGAAGCGGTCTTTTCCCAGGTAAGTTGATGGATTTTTTCTACTCTGTTTTTAGAATGAAATTAGGATGAGACTGAGTATATGTATATAAAGTTAACCGATAACATTCTTCTCGGCTTTTCTTTCTGTAGCCAATTATGTCGAAGTCATTGGGCAAGATTCTGCTGCTGCTGAGGGAACGTCGGCGCATTATGCAGAAGAGCAGGAGGCCTACGCACATGATACCTATGCAGGAGATGAATCAGGACTTGCCGCAGTGGATGAGGTGCTGTCTGCTAAGCCCACAGCAGTTGCTTTGTACGACTATAATGCAGGAGAGCCTAACGAGATCTCATTCTCGGAGGGTGATATTATCAGAGATATTGAAGTAAGGATCAGAGAGTTGCTGTCTGGATTTATTATTCTTTTTATTTCATTTGTATGCAACATATAAGGCAAATAACAATTGAAACATAGTACTGTTAAATACTAACCCAACTTTTTCTTTTCTTTTCTTTTTTCTTTCTATAGTTCGTCAGTGATGACTGGTGGAGCGGGTTAGCACAAGATGGCACAAATGGCCTTTTCCCATGTAAGTTTTATGAAGAACATATATTTTTTATCTGATGTTCATGATGTTGACCAAAAAAGAAAAAGAAAGAGTAAATTAGCTGATAATATGCTCATTTTTCAATGTATTTGTATCTATCGATGTCTATAGCCAACTATGTAGAGCTTCAGGAATAATGGAAAGAACCTGTATTGGATCGAAAATAATAAAAATAAAAAGCGCGTCATGAATGAGCTGTTTGCACATACACGCGACATAATTTCCCGTGAAGGAGCGCGAGCAAAAATGCGCTTGCTCCTTTCATTTTTTTATTATTTTGGTGCAGCATCTTTATAATTCAATTTGTCCATTCTTCACCTTTTTTTTTTTCCCCTCAATGGTCAATGTCCTCAATTTCTTTCCTGCTCATGTCAAACAAAAGGCCATTCTACAAAATGAACAGCTGAATCGACTTGTTCTAAAAAACATGTCAAGTGCGTTGGTGACAAACTTGCCTTTACGGTAACATGCAAATTAGTGGCAAAAAGAAAAAAATGTATATGCAGGATGTGCTCACGTTGACCGTGAAGCTTGATTATCTTACAGATAATTCTTCTTATTATCTTTTATTAGCTATATATTCCAGTATGCTTTGAATTATCTTCAAGAGAGTGATAATGAGCACCGAACAGTCCTGATAATAACAGATACCAAGGCTCATCTCAAAGAATGGATGCTTCATGAACAAAAACTCTATGCTCCACCTGAACATGAAACAAAGCAAAAAACAAAAAACGGTCCATTACAACAAACATCAGACGCCATAACAACAACAACAGCAACAGGAACAAATTCAGGCGTAGATGAATCAATTAATAAGATAAGCAATGATCATGCCGGACCGTGGCAGCATTTATTTCCTTCAGGCCCTGGGCCAGACGGATACGATGAGTTTATATCTGCAACCCAATCCCAGCTACAAACCCAACAAGGATCATTAGGCTCCCAGATACAGTTGGCTCAAATGCTGCCTTCATTGTTACCAGAAATCATCGAAGAAGCAGAGGATGAGGGAATAGAAGGAGAAGAAGGAAGAGCAGAATCAAGGAGCCAACCCATGTCTATTTCTGGAAGCAGTCTTGAATACAAAACCAATACTGTTAACCTCGATGATGACGATAGTAAGGATGACGATAAAGATGATAATAATAGCGACAATAATGCCAATGTCAATGAGGAGCCATTTCGAGCAGATCTATGGTCAAGAATCCAGATTCGATATGTGCCTACGCTTGCTCATCTTCAGTCCTTCTTTCGATGCATACACCTCGACCCAGAAGATACACAAGATAAAACGTTTGGGTACCATCATCAACATAAATGGGTAACGGATAAAGGCATTAGTCCGACTTTGGACGAGGATGAGGATCATCATCATAGGCAGGAAAGGGTGAAGCGGTGGGAGAAGCACAATGACAATAGGAACGACGATAAGAACAACTATAATAATAATAATAGTAATGATAATCATTTTAACAGCGGCAGCGGAGAGACTATTGAACCTTCGATCCCAACTCTAATCATATTAATTGGATGTTTCAGTGGTCATTTTTATAAAAGTGTTAATCCTGAAGGCCAGACACGAGTAGCCACTTCATCGTTATGTGCCTTACCCTCACCATACAATTATAGAGGTGAATTAACTGAGATCCCAACAGTAGGAACTGCAGCAACAGCTCACAGCGCACAACAACAGCAGCCGCAGCCAGAAACATTTCAAACATTCCCGTCCGCTATATCAATGACGAGCCATACCAACGATGAAGATCGTGAACGTGTTCAATATATTAAAATGGCTAACCAGGCATTGAGCGAAATCAAGGACAGCCTCGAGTGGATTCAACGCGCCTCGTAGGTGCTTTTTATTTATCATTATTATTTTTCTTAAAAAAAAAAAAAAAAAAAAAAAAACTACCTCTCACTACATATCGGCTTATGCTGCTCTTTTTTTTTTTTTTTTTTTTTTAGTGGACAAAATCCAGAACTCTTGATTTTTGAAGAGAATCGAATATCATCACCAGCAAGCATCAATAATCCACCTGCCAATCCTCAGCCGCTACCTTCTGAACGTGAACTTTGGCTTCAACAAATTGTTGGGTTTTGGACAGATTGCTTCATAGTGGCTGAAGTACAAGATCCAGCACTAGAAGTGGAGCAACAGCAGCATCCGTCAACTGGTTATTATAGTCAGGAGCTACCTAATAGAGGGGACACAGCCATATCTGATAAAGTCGCTACGATTAAGTCTAAGGATTGTATGCGTCTCTGGATCAAAACTCGACAGAGCATCAGAGCCATTCTTTCTAACGGAATAGAAGGAATAATAGAACGATTAAGAGATCTGGACGAGACCCCAAAAGCATCAGCACCAGCAGCTTCCTCTATCGGAGCTATTGTCGGATTAGATTGGGAGATTGATCAAACAGCTACACGATGTCGCTTTCAGTTGCTGACATGATATATTTTTTTATTATATTTTTGTCCGCAAAGTTAAATGCCTTACAGCTTACAGCTGGATGAATATGTGCAAAAATAGAGTGGGGGACTAGGGTAGTGATTTGAAAAGAAAAGAAAAGAAGAAAAAATAGCTCTACCAAGAAAGCACTTAATCTTCTCAATGTTTAAATACCCTCTCTTTTTAATTGGCGGCAATGACCTCGAGATAGGCCTTGCGGTGTGGGTTTTCATCACATGGACCTAAAACAACAACCAATCCCCGTGATATATAGACATTAATACGATTAAGATTTTGCTTCTACAAAAAAAAAAAAAAAAAAAAAAAAATAATAATAATAATAATTAATCATTTAAACTTATTCCTTACGATTAAGAGGGGTCCAAACAGGATCCTCCTTGAACAGACGCATAGCCTTGAGGTAGTTGTTGGTATCGAGAGTGAAGCGGTGATAGATGCCAGCGGGCTAATTATTTATTCATTTAAAAATATATTAATATACACATACATCGGTTCTTTAAAAAAAAAAAAAAAAAAAAAAAAAAAAAAGCGTGGTTAAGTCTGTCTTACCAAAACAATTAAATCACCAGCTTCAACTTTAATTCTAACCCAACGATCCTGTCTATCTGTTGATGAATGGAAGAGGGAAGAGAAAAAAAAAAATGCAGCAAGGTAAGTTCAAGATGCCTTGTGCTTATTTTTTTATTTTTTTAAAAAAGGGCTTACTTACCTCTGATATCAAAGTATCCAGTGCCTTCAAGAATTGCACGAATCTCTTCGTCCTCATGCAAATGCCTTTTTTAAATGTTCACGGATTGAAGAAAAGGAAACGAAGAAGATATTTCTTTTAGTACTTTTTTTTTTTTTTTTTGGTTGGTTGGATGGGGTGGATAATAGAATTTTTCATCCATATAGCATTGATGACTTACTCTGCGAAAAACGTCTTGATCTTCTCGTCAAACAAGGCACCGAGACCTTCCTTGGAAACCGTAATCTAAACATATTGACGGAAAATAGTGAAATACCAAAACAGTGTTTAGATTTAAAAGTGAGTGTCATGTTTAAAACATGCACAAGGGCATGGGAGGGGGACAGCTGTCCAGATTTTTTTTTTTTTTTTTTTTTTTTTTGAGTAATTAGTTATAGACATTAATACTACAAATACCTGGTCACGGTTCTTGTAGTTACGTTCTTCACAGATTTTGTCGATTTGCTCCTCAAAGTTCTCGTCCTGTAACTTCCAATAAAGGACTCCGGAAGCTGCTAATTCTTCAGCCGAGACAGGAACCGAAGGCTCAAGCTCATGAGGCAGTCTGCAGTCAGTGTCAAGGTTGTCGTAAAGATAAGCGCGCATAGTTGAAGGTGTGGTTGATAGGTTATTAACGTTAAAAGAAGGAGTGCAAAAAAAATAAAATAAAATAAAATAAAAAGCTAATGTCCGAGTTTGAATGAATGAATGGAAAAAAAAAGAAAAAAAAAAAAAAAAAGTTTGCCAGTACATGTGCCTGATCGATAGCACACCACAGCCTCATGCTTGTCGAAAGAAACACGACATTTTTGTTTTCCCCGACGAACCGGTCTCAAATAAAGCCCAATCTTGTTGCAACAGGAAGGTTTACTTGTTGTGTGACAAGCATTTGCTTGTCGCTTGTTCTTTCATCTCTGCCCACTAATTAATCCTTACTTTCACCTAATTCATTCATTAATCGTATAAATCTCGCTCTCTCCATTGATCTTTTCCAATTAATCTCCTTTCACTTCAAGCTTATGTCTACTGGAGCAACGAGGCGCTCGCAATCTCCTTTTCGTTTCTAGTTTATGTTTATTAGGGCAACGAGGCACTCGCTTCCTCAAGTAAAAATAATAAAAAATAGCACTTCTTTATCCTACCCATTTATCTTTATACTCCACGCCTGTGCATCCAATCCACAACAGCTGAATCTGGCGATTGTTTGATAAGGCCCACATATTCCCCATGTAAAATAGTGAATGCTTTCTCCCTTGTACACTGTTGGTCTGGATACAGAAGACAAATCTATACCTTGGTAAAGGGCGAAGGCTGAAATATGAAAGGCGAAGAAAGATGAGAAGGAGTCAGCGAAGCTGTAAGAGAAAGAGTTGTTTTTAACATATGGCTCTAACTGCCTCTCCATGCGTTACCGTATTAAATCAGACAGTCTAATAATCGACCTTGGCCCCGTATTGACATCTTTAACTGCTTGCATGATAACAAGGAATCGGAATCACTGGCCTCTTAAATACTTTTTTTTTTATAGACTCTACACTCTTGCTCTGAGAATAAAAGGTGTTCAGGCTCATACACTATCATGCAAAACTGATTCAATAATTCATTCCCATGTGCATTTCTTTTTTTCATTCCTAGAAACCGTATATGCATACACCACTCACACTTTGGTTTAATAAAGCTCCCGTCTTCTTCTACGTCATAGTGATGCGTTGTGACATTAGCTTGTCTCATTTGAATAGCTAATGACTTTTTTGTTCATGCAGGTCATTGAATCAGTTTCACATGTGCCCATTCGGTGGCCAAAGATCTTTATTCTTTTGTGAGGCATAACCTTACATCAATAGATAGTATTCCAACCATGGGCATCACTGACAGCTTGGAGTCTCTTATGGATACCTATGATGAGTTTGCGGCAGAAGTCCACTGGGATCCTGTACCATTCAACCGATATTCGCTCCCATAGTTCATCACAGCTCTTAGCTCGCTCCGGATACCTAGAGAGCCGCCTATCCAATTCTGCCCACATGTGTTCAATAGGGTTGAGGTCAGGGGATTGTGCTGGCCACTCTAGAAGTGTACCTTCCTCTTCTGTCAGATGTACTGACTCCAAATACTTCCTAACAATCTTCGCCGTGTGCTTCGAGTCATTGTCGTGCTGAAAGACGATATCGCTTTTAGTTAGGCCCCAGTCATCAAGCGACATCTGTAGATCCTCCTGCAGTAGTTTGATGTAAAGTTGTGCGTCCATATTATTGTCAATCTTTGCAATGTATCCAGGTCCGTACCATGAGAAGCATGACCACACTTTAACATTACCACCCCCAAACTTGACAGTGCCTTGCACCGACCTGCGAGTGAGGCGTCCCGGGTTGTCGTCCCAGATCCACTGCACGCCATCAGAGCAGATTCGGTTTATTTTCGATTCATCTGACCAAATAACCTTTTTCCAATCTTCCAGAGTCCATTCCTTATACTTTTTGATAAAATGCAAACGAGCTTTAATATGCCGTCGACGTAAAGCTGGCTTATGTACACGCCTCTTTGCTGTCAATCCTAACTCCTTGAGCCGTCGTCTAACGGTGGTCTCAGAAACAGCCGCTGGTATGAGCTGGTTGGCTCTGACGGTGGCCTCAACTGCAGACTTGAGTGTACCTCGTTTCATGTTCACCTTAAGATACTGCATGATACCTCTAGGTACTTTCCTTGGTCGACCGCCTTTATTGACTGGCATGTGCTCCTTATTATGTGCATAGATCCTGGTGGCCGTCGCTATTGATATACCAACACTAGCAGCAGTTTCTCTAGTAGACATGCCTCCCATCATTAACCTCCTGGCTTCGTTGACTTTCCTTTGTGGAGTGGGTCTCATATTCTGTGAAGGTATAGTTAAGAGAGAGTTAAGCAAGTGTTCATAAAGGAAAGAGAGAAAAGTCCTTTTTTTACTGGCATTAAATGACGTCCAAAAGTTGTCATGGGCAACATTTTAGACCACATGTGAAACTGATTCAATGACCTGCATGAACAAAAAAGTCATTAGCTATTCAAATGAGACAAGCTAATGTCACAACGCATCACTATGACGTAGAAGAAGACGGGAGCTTTATTAAACCAAAGTATGAGTGGTGTATGCATATACGGTTTCTAGGAATGAAAAAAAGAAATGCACATGGGAATGAATTATTGAATCAGTTTTGCATGATAGTGTATCAAATGAATTGAATCGGTACAATCGAGGCACCGAATGATTCGGTTTACCGAATGCATCGAATATTCGATACATTCGATTCGGTTTCGACAATATATATTCATTCGGTTTCGATTCGATATGAACCTTACCTTGGTCAATTCGATTTCGGTTCGAAGGTGTATTGAATCGAATGTACCGATTAGGAGCACTGGAATCCACCCTGTATTCCATGTCAGCTTACTAGAGCGACATCACCAAGATCAGATCCCAGGCCGTACTCCACCGCCTGCTCCTCTACTAATTATTGATGGAACCAAGGAGTATGAGGTTGAGACTATTCTCGACTCCAAGTTCATTCGTGGTCACTTACACTACTTCGTCCATTGGAAGGATTACCCCGTCTCCAAGAGATCCTGGGAACCAATCGAGTTTCTTGAAAACTCTGGTGACCTTCTGAATAGGTTTCATAAAAGCAATCCTGACAAGCCACGCCCTTTGCTTCGCGGAGCTCAGCCCAAGAGAGGGAGGTTGTCGTATACCAGCCACCAAGTCAGAAGCTCGCCACGTGATTCGAGGCCAAGCAAGTCACGAACTAACGCCACCACGGCTCGGCTCACATCGGCTCGGTTAAGGTCTGAGTCATAGCATGTGAAAGCATAGCCTATGACTCATTGATAAACATAGCCCATCGATAAGCATAGCCCATGAGTCATCGATAGATACAGCCCTATGACTCACTGATAAGCATAGCCCATGAATAACATATAAATAGAGACGCATTCCCCACCTAGTTTAGTTCCTTACCTGATATCTTGAATAAAACTCCTAAGCTTTCCTTGACCCTTGTTCCTGTTCACATATCTCCTACTCTCTTACATACCCACCTGCCTAGTCTGGAAAAGGTCATTCTGCCTTGCCCTAAGCCTAGGTTCTCGACAGGCATATGTAAAACAGACGCAGCCTGGTCTGACGAAGAAGCAAATCTATGATCGATATAATTCTGCCAAGGATCACTTGGGATTGGACGCTAGAAGACTGGAAGAACGTCATGTTCTCAGATGAGACCATTTTTGGCAGAGTTGGGTCCTGCGGAAGAAAGTACTACTACAAACATCGATGGGATAAAACTCTACGAGCACATCATATCAAAAAGACAAGGCAAGGTGGCGGAGGGAAAATGATGTTCTGGGGTTGTATCACCTACTAAGGACCAGGCGTTGACTGCTGGCTCCAAGACAAGGTGGATTCAGTAACCTAGTTCGACGTTCTCAAGGATTATATTTTTATATCCAGGGACTACTACGTGATGGATAATGACAAAAATTTTTTCAGCAGGACAATGCTACATGTAGGATTCATACCGGAAGAATAGCAATGATCTATATCCAAAAGTCTAAGATACTCTCATGGAATGGCCAGCAAACTGCAAAAGTCAAGGTAGTGTTCTAGAGGGATCTAAGGGTGCAATAAAGGTATCTTTATTCAGGGGAACTATGCTACAGAACTAGATAGAAAAGTAGATCTATTTATACTAGTTAATATCCTGTTGCAAGGAATGCTCTAGAAATATGGGCGAAATACTATGTTGCACAAAATTATTATAGTGATTTCGCTTGCACAAACTCTCCTGTCATCAACCAATAGAAAATATCTGGGCATACATGAAGGTGCAGTTGGTTTATTATCCAGACAAGCCAAAGAATTGGGGGACCTCTGAGAGAGAGTCTAAGACGTATGGACACATATCCCTCCTGAATTATTACACAAACTATACTGCGGTATGCCGAAGAGGATGAGGGGAACATCGTTAGGGTAAATGAGAAGTAACAGGAATAAATAAAAACAGGAAGTTGCTAACTGCCATAATAGATGCAATGAGTGGCTGAAAGCAAATTGCAATTAAATGCTAATTAGGCCAATGATGGCTATGACGATGAGAATCCATGGAGGTGAGACAAATGAGAATGAGAAACGGTGGTGGCAGGGAAGGTCATAAAGAAGAAGAAGGAGAATGAGAAATAAATGTTGAAAAATGCAATTTATTGCATCAGTTTTGGCACGCACTATACATTGTCGACAAGCAAGATCAAATTGGAGAAAGGAATGACAATGTCAATATTTCGAAATTATTGATTGGCTTTAGATGACGACAGTACAACGGCAGCTTAGCTTGTATATCATTGACTGATGTTGTTAGTTTCCATGGAACTTTATTAACAAGAACACTCTGATCTGGCAACAATATCCTTCTTGGCTTGACGAAAGACGGTCTAAGCCAACTAAAAGGTACCAGTGGTGAATCTGATGGTGCAATCTTGACGGCTCGCAGATTCATAAGAGTCCTCTCTACCATGATCTACAGAGTGGAGTTAATACTATCAACGTTTTGATATAGTACGGCCTTCATTCGCTATCACAATATATTTAAACCATGTACCTTTGTTGCCTCAAGGATTTCAAGGAGCCTACAAAGTGGGAACATGTTCTCAGCTTTGTTGAACAAGTAGCAATC